GGGAAGCATTAAACGCCTCGGCGCATCAGGCAATATTCTAATTTTGTGGGATCGAAGATGGTTGTCTAGAACGAACTTCTGGAAAGGACTCTTTTCCTTGTCATGTGTGTTTCAGATGGAAGATGATAATTTCAGTTGGGTCTTCTCTGAAGTTTATGGACCCGTTATTGATTGTGATAGACCTATCTTTTGGGAAGAGCTCAACTACGTCAAGGAATTGTGGTCGTTGCCTTTTTACTTAGGCGGGGACTTTAATTCTATTAGGTCTCCATTCGAGAGATCCACAGGGGGTGGGTGAGATGACCCAATTCTCTGACTTCATTGATGGTCACTTTTTTATTGATCTACCATTGGAAGGGGCTGCTTTTACTTGGTCTAGTGGCAGAGATCTAGCCACTCTTTTAAGATTGGATAGATTCCTGATTTCTGGGGATTGGGAAGAGAAGTTCCCGGATGTCACTCAGGCAGCTTTGGTTAGGGTCACGTCTGATCATGTGCCTTTAGTTCTTAATTGTGGAGGCATGAGATCTAGACGTACACCATTTCGCTTCAAAAATATATGGTTGAGATCCGAGGACTTCTAAAGGAAAGTCCAGTCTTGGTGGGGGGAGGCAACGTTTACAGGCTTTGCTAGCTATGTGCTTGCTAAGAAGTTTCAGATTCTCAAATCTGAGCTTAAGGAGTGGAATAAAGAGGTGTTTGGGAATCTTGAATGGAATAAGAATAGAGTTTTGGCTGATATTGCTGAACTTGATCGTCTTGATGAGCTGGGGCAGGATACGGAGTCTTTATGTTCTAGAAGAGCGTCTTGTCAGAAGATTTTTGTTGAGTTAGCTGTTATGGAGGAGATTTTCGTGGCGTCAGAAATCTCAGGCTTTGTGTCTAAAAGAAGGTGATCGCAATACAAAATCCTTTCACAGGCTTGCTAACGCTCATAGAAGATACAGTCACATTGGGCGTATCCGTGTGAATGGGTCAGAGTTGCGGAGAGAAGATGAGGTGAGTGGGGGAATTGTTTTCTTTTACCAGCAGCTCTATACCGAGACGTTGGGATGGAGACCTAAACTTGATGGTTTGCATTTCGATGCTATTTCTACGCTAGATAGTGATAGGCTTGAAGTTCCTTTCTCTGAAGAGGAAGTTCTTAAGGCGTTATCTAGTTGTAATGGTGATAAAGCTCCAGGGCCAGACGGTTTTACTATGCGGTTTCTTAAGGGGAGTTGGGATGTGGTGCGCAATGAGGTGATGGGCACTTTTCAGGATTTTCATTCTCATGGCACATTTGAGAATTCCTTGAATGCATCTTTCATTGCTCTTATTCCTAAGAAAGGCGACGCCTCTGACATTAAGGACTTCCGGCCAATCAGCTTAGTGGGATGTATGTATAAGCTTATTGCCAAGGTCTTTGTCCTTAGGATGCGAACTATTTTGGACGGTATTATTTCAGTCTCAGAATGCTTTTGTTGGTGGAAGGCAGATCTTGGATTCTGTTCTCATAGCAGGGGAATGCGTTGATTCTAGATTTAAGAGTGGAGTTCCCGGTGTCTTATGCAAACTTGACATTAAGAAAGCTTATGATCACGTTAATTGGAAGTTTCTTCTTCACTTGCTTCGGAGAATGGGGTTTGGGGAAAGATGGATAAAATGGATTGAATCTTGCATCTGTCCGTCATGTTCTCTGTGCTTGTGAACAGATCTTCTGCTGGTTTTTTTCGAGTTTGCGTGGTTTGAGACAAGGAGATCCCTTATCGTTTTTTTTATTCCTTATTGTTATGGAAGGATTGAGCAGATTAATGAAAAGAGCGGAGGATTTGGGTTTCATAAAGGGGTTCACAGTCGGTAGAAATGTTGCTCATCAGATTGAGATATCCCATTTGTTGATTGCGGATGATACCTTGGTTTTTTGTGATGCTAATGTTTCCCAACTCAGATATTTGAGGTGTATTCTTGCTTGCTTCTAAGCGGTATCCGGACTTAAAATCAATGTTAGAAAGAGTGTGCTTGTCCCAGTGGGGGATGTTCCTGATATTTCCTCCTTGACTGCAGTTTTTGGGTGTGAAGTGAGTGATTTTCCACTTCCTTATCTGGGACTACCTTTGGGAATTTCCTCCAGGAAAGTGGGGAGTTGGGATCCTGTGATCAATAGGTATGAAAAAAGATTGGCAGGATGGGATAAATAGTATCTTTTGAAGGGGGGAAAGGTCACACTTATTAAGAATACCCTTTCGACTCTTCCCACCTATTTCTTATCTCTGTTTCAAATCCCGTGCTCTGTTGTTGAACGAATTGAAAAAATTCAGAGAGACTTTCTTTGTGGAGAAAGAGGAGAGGAGTTCAAGTATCATCTTGTCAATTGGGAGCAAGTCTGCAAACCTTTGAAATTTGGCGGCTTAGGCATTCAGAAGTTGGTCCCATTCAATAGGGCCTTATTGGGAAAGTGGTTATGGAGGTTCGGGAAAGAGCGTCATAAACAGTGGAGAAGAGTTTTCTCGTGTCACTTTGGGGAGGAGAGTGGGGGTTGGTCCTCCCGTCCTGTTTCTGTTACTGGAGGTGTTGGCGTTTGGAAATTCATTCGGAAGGGATGGGATGTGTTTTCCACCCATATTAGATTCAAGGTTCGTGCTGGTACGCATATTCGTTTTTGGGAAGACTTATGGTGTGGTGATTAGTTGTTGTCCCTTTCCTTTCCTCATCTTTTTAGCATTGCCGAGAATAAGCATGTTTACGTAGTTAACTGTTATCACCTTGATAACAGTGGGGTTACGTGGGATGTGCGTTTTAGGCATTCTTTTCAGGATTGGGAGATGGCAGAAGTATGCGTTTTTTTAGAATTGTTGTATAGACAGAAGGATATTGGAAGAGGTTGTGATGACATCTTGTGGATCCCTTCCACTTATGGTAGATACGGAGTACGATCCATGTTCCTGTGTTTGTCTAACTTCAATGGTCATGATTTCCCATGGAAGTCTATTTAGCGCTCTAGAAAGATTCTGACATTGGATAATCTACGTAAGAGAGGCAATACCATTGTTAATTGGTGTTGCTTATGTAAAACAGATGGAGAGTCCGTAGTTCACATTCTTTTGCATTGTCTTGTGGCTTTTGATTGTTAGAACCTTATATTCAGTATTTTTGGCATTCAGTGGGTAATGCCTAAGCACTTTTTTCAATTTATCAATGCTTGGAGAAGATGCCCTGTTACCGGTCATGCTCGTGATTTTTGGAGGATTGTCCCGCATTGTGTTTGGTGGCAGAAATTTTGAAGGAAAGGAATCGTCTCTTGCAAACTTAAAATCTCATATTCTTCGTTCTATCTTCTGTTATATAAGAGGCAGCACTTGCTCCTCGATAGATGATGTTTTTGATCTTTTGGACTCTATTGGTCCTTAGGTCTCTCATTTTTGTGTATTAGGGACGTGTTCCCCTTTTGAACGTTTTTCTAATATATTTTTACTTATAAAAAAAAAATCTTAGCCTTTTTTATTGTTGTTGCCATTCTTTTTATACTCAAATGAAGAATTTTAGACGAGTATAATAGAGGCGCTGTCCCTTAAATCTATTATGTGAAGCAAACAATACAATCCACTTTGACATAGTGCCTATTTCCGTTTTTAAAGATAATGTGAGTAAAGTTTCTAATGATATAGGGTAAATAGAAAATATTAAGATTAATTCTTCTAAATTGATCACATGAGAACGATTAAACTAGATTTATAAAGAGATACAAAATAGTTTATATTTGGTAGCATATATAAAACTGATATAACAAAATCTTCAATGAAAAGTTAAATTCGTGAAAGAATAGGTAGCCGTGAAGGTAAAGAAAAACAATCAGAATGGCATCTAATAATTCATTGTTGAGGTTTTAAGTTCAAGCCTTGATTTAAGCAAATATAAAATATATCCACCATGCATGGTTTGAGACTTTTGCTAAATTCTCAGGCTTTCCACAATATAATAATCCTGGACGGACTTGGAAACTGATATGGATGTATCATGTACCATAGCTATCTTGTACATATATATACATACATATACATGTGTGTATGTATATACAAGTGCAAGCCTGCGAGGAGTCTAATAATTCGCATAATATATATATTGAATCAAGACAATATATGTTTTAGGAGAGACACACAATTATCACACTAACATTATAACTAATTACCAAAAATATATAATATATATCATTGTCTAACTTTATTTTTCTAAACTTTATTGTAGTAGCGATCCTTTTCCATCGACAGCTTACAAAAACCCACTGCTCACTCTGTCTGCTTCCACCCAAATCTCATCTGCATGAACTGAATTTAAAATCTTGTGGCAAAAAGGAAAAGGAGAAAAAAATGAATTTAAGCCCCTGTGAAGGCTGTGATGAAAAGAACTACAGAGAATTATATGGCAGAAAATGTCAGTAGAAGTAATCTTAGTTATTTATTTACATTAAAATACAATAAAGTCACTTAATTAAGGTCATCTATATGATCCTTCCTTATGATTAAAGAAAACACATTTGATGTCTTTTAGTTCATATATACTACTTCCTTGGGTAACTTCTTTTCATAGTAAGATTGTGAACATTTAAAAATAAAACATTAAAACTGACATAAAGAAGAAATAATTAAATTATTCGTTATTACCACATTATGCTAAGAATGAATGGTAATTGGTTATATATTCTCGATGCCCTGATTATAATTGAGAAAACCACGCATAGGCCAAGAACTATGCTTGAGAATATTATAATAAATTTCCAATTCGAAAGTGCAATAAGAGAATATCTTAAAAGTTTCATATAGACAAAAAACCAAGAAACAAAATCAAATACCCAAAGTAGTCATTCTTAGGAGCTTAAATATATAGTGCAATGGCTATCGTTTAAACTAGATATGTGTGTGTATTCATTTGATATATGTATATAGACATATCTGCGTGTGGGTGTGTCTTTGTAAATGTGTTTGGACAAAGATAGATAGAGACTAACCAGTTTAGAGAGGAAATTATCCTCCCATTTCATCTTTGTGGAACTTTCTCCGCACCCAACCTGCCTTCACTATAACTGCCACCAGTAGGTTGTTGTAAGTATTCTCCACAAACTGAAACCACGCATACCTCCAAGACTTTTTGAAATGCAAAATGCCACAAATTGCCAAGAAGCCAACCAAGAAACCCGGTCCAATGGCAGTATAGAATGCCAGACGTTCCGACTCATCTTCTTCATCATTACTCTTAGGAACATGCGGATCATGATGACCAATATCAGACGAAGTATCACCATGGCAACTCTTCAAGATTTGTGGTCCGCAAAGTTAATTGTTGCCCATATAGATGGATGATGGATCATCAAGTGTTTGGAGTTGATTTCCTGTTGGTATTCGCCCTGACAAGTTGTTGAACGACAAGTTTAAGTAGCTTCAAAAATTCAAAGCCGACAAGCTTGGAGGGATTGAACCAGAAAGTTTGTTTCTGGACAAATCAGGTGATTCCAAAGTTTTCATGTTTCCAATCTTCTTTGGGATCCTTCCATTTAGATGACTTTTGGATGCGTTGAAACTCAGCAATCCAGTAAGATCCATCAACTCTTCAGGAATCTCTCCAACTATCTGATTGTTTGAAATATCTGTAGATGTGAGAAATTGGAGTGTTTTTGTGTATTCAAGTTGAATACCTTTAATGTAATTTAAAATGCTCTCGCGCCCCCTGGCAACCCATAATTGTCAAACACTTTTCCATTGTGATTCACAACCATGGCAATGAAGTTGGCAAAGCAGCGATGAATACTTCCAGTTATGTTGTTATGTGACAGGTCTAACACTTGAAGAGCTGAGAGGTGGCAAAGCCGTGGAGAAATATAACCATGGAACTTATTCAATTGAAGAATGAAAAATCGTAGACTAGACATTTCTCCAATCTATGGAGGGATATAATATCTGTTAATTCATTATCACCTAGATCAAGAATGCGCAGATATTTCAAATTCTGCAAAGACGAAGGGATCTTCCCATGAAGCATGTTGTTGCGCAAGTGCAAAGAATTGAGCAGTGTTAAAGAACCCAAAGAACTTGGAATATCACCGACTAGATTGTTATTTTTCAGATCAAGCACACACAATTCCTGCAATTTCCCATTGCACCAAGGGAGTGTTCCTGATAATTTATTTTTTGATAGATCAAGTATTTGCAGATCCCTCATCTCGCATATGTACTTTGGAATATCACCAGTCAAATTGTTATTTGAGAGTTTAAGAAACATAAAGCTCTTATAAATATTATCATCAACGAGAGGAAAATCACTTGAAAGTAAGTTGTCGGAAAAATCTAATTCAGTGACATGTGAAAGAAATGGTGTTAGGGGGCCCTCAAACTTTTTGGAATTCAAAAATATCTGTGTAACAGTAACATTAGATTCTTGAAACTTGGGCAACTTTCCACAAATCTGGTTGTGAGATATATCTAAGAGGTTAATACGAGAATACAAATTCCTAAACCAGTCAGGGACGATATTTGAGATGTTTGCATTGGAAATTACCAAGGTTTCAACATGTTTCTGTGTTTGAAGCCATGGAGGAAATTGGGGTCCCAATTTGTAGGAAGCCATATTAATAATTTGGAGTTAAAATGGAGGAACCCATTGGATGCTCACATTCACCACAATTAACAAGTTCGAAGACATGTTCAACCATTCTAACCTAGTGAGTTTGGCAAAGTGAAGTTCAGATACCATACCTTCCAACGAATTGTTAGAGACATCTAACCGCTCTAGCCTTGAAAGTTGTCCAAGACTCTCCCATTCAACTGATTACTATAAGCAAATAACCATTTTAATGATGACAGTCTTCCAATTTATTCTTATTGTTATGGAGGGATTGAGTAGATTAATGAAAAGAGCGGAGGATCTGGGTTTCATAAAGGGGTTCATAGTCGATAGAGATGTTGCTCATCAGATTGAGATATCCCATTTGTTGATTGCGGATGATACCTTGGTTTTTTGTGATGCTAATGTTTCCCAACTCAGATATTTGAGGTGTATTCTTGCTTGCTTCCAAGCGGTATCCGGACTGAAAATCAATGTTGGAAAGAGTGTGCTTGTCCTAGTGGGGGATGTTCTTGATATTTCCTCCTTGGCTGCAGTTCTTGGGTGTGAAGTGAGTGATTTTCCACTTCCTTATCTGGGACTACCTTTGGGAATTTCCTCCAAGAAAGTGGGGAGTTAGGATCCTGTGATCAATAGGTATGAAAAAAGATTGGCAGGATGGAAAAAATAGTATCTTTCGAAGGGGGGAAAGGTCACTCTTATTGAGAGCACCCTTTCGTCTCTTCCCACCTATTTCTTATCTCTGTTTCAAATCCCGTGCTTTGTTATTGAACGGATTGAAAAAATTCAGAGAGACTTTCTTTGAGGTTGAAGAGGAGAGGAGTTCAAGTATCATCTTGTCAATTGGGAGCAAGTCTGCAAACCTTTGAAATTTGGCGGCTTAGGCATTCGGAAGCTGGTCCCATTCAATAGGGCCTTATTGGGGAAGTGGTTATGGAGGTTCGGGAAAGAGCGTCATAGACAGTGGAGAAGAGTTATCTCGTGTCACTTTGGGGAGGAGAGTGGGGGTTGGTCCTCTCGTCCTATTTTTGTTACTGGAGGTGTTGGCGTTTGGAAATTCATTCGGAAGGGATGGGATGTGTTTTCCACCCATATTAGATTCAAGGTTTGTGCTGGTACGCATATTCGTTTTTGGGAAGACTTATGGTGTGGTGATCAGTAGTTGTCCCTTTCCTTTCCTCGTTTTTTTAGCATTGCTGAGAATAAGCATGTTTACGTTGTTGACTGTTATCATCTTAATAACAGTGGGGTTACGTGGGATGTGCGTTTTAGGCGTTCTTTTCAGGATTGGGAGATGGCAGAAGCATGCGTTTTTTTGGAATTGTTGTATAGACAGAAGGATGTTGGCAGAGGTTGTGATGACATCTTGTGGATCCCTTCCACCTATGGTAGATACGGAGTATGATCCATGTTCTTATGTTTGTCTAACTTCGATGGTCATGATTTCCCATGGAAGTTATTTAGCACTCTAAAGCTCCTGTTAGAGCGCTTTAGAGTTGCATTCTTTGTTTGGATTGCTACTTGGGGAGAGATTCTGACATTGGATAATCTACGTAAGAGAGGCAATACCATTGTTAATTGGTGTTGCTTATGTAAAACAGACGGAGAGTCCGTAGATCACATTCTTTTGCATTGTCTTGTGGCGTCTGATTGTTGGAACCTTATATTCAATATTTTTGGCATTTAGTGGGTAATGCCTAAGCACTTTTTTCAATTTATCAATGCTTGGAAAAGATGCCTTGTTACCGGTCATGCTCGTGATTTTTGGAGGATTGTCCCGTATTGTGTTTGGTGGCAGAAATTTTGAAGGAAAGGAATCGTCTTTTGCAAACTTAAAATCTCATATTCTTCGTTCTCTCTTCTGTTATATAAGAGGCAGCATTTGTTCCTCGATAGATGATGTTTTTGATCTTTTGGACTCTATTGGTCCTTAGGTCTCTCGTTTTTGTGTATTAGGGACATGTTCCTCTTTTGAACGCTTAATAAATATATTTTTACTTATATAAAAAAAAAATCTTAGCCTTTTTTATTTTTGTTGCCATTCTTTTTATACTCAAATGAAGAATTTTAGACAAGCGTAATAGAGGCGCTGTCCCTTAAATCTATTATGTGAAGCAAACAACACAATCCACTTTGACATAGTGCATATTTCCGTTTTTAAAGATAATGTGAGTAAAGTTTCTAATGATATAGGGTAAATAGAAAATATTAAGATTAATTCTTCTAAAGTGATCACATGAGAACGATTAAACTAGATTTATAAAGAGATACAAAATAGTTTATATTTGGTAGCATATATAAAACTGATACAACAAAATCTTCAATGAAAAGTTAAATTCGTGAAAGAATAGGTAGACGTGAAGGTAAAGAAAAACAATCAGAATGGCATCTAATAATTCATCGTTGAGGTTTTAAGTTCAAGCCTTGATTTAAGCAAATATAAAATATATCCACTATGCATGGTTTGAGACTTTTGCTAAATTCTCAGGCTTTCCACAAAATAATAATCCTGGACGGACTTGGAAACTGATACGGATGTATCATGTACCATAGGTATCTTGTACATATATATACATGTGTGTATGTATATACAAGTGCAAGCCTACGAGGAGTCTAATAAGAGTCTAATAATTCGCATAATATAGATATTGAATCAAGACAATATATGTTTTAGGAGAGACACACAATTATCACACTAAAATTATAACAAATTACCAAAAATATATAATATATATCATTGTCTAACTTTATTTTTCTGAACTTTATTGTAGTAGCGATCCTTTTCCATCGACAGCTTATGAAAACCCACTGCTCACTCTGTCTGCTTCCACCTGAATCTCATCTGCTTCAACTGAATTTAAAACCTTGTGGCAAAAAGGAAAAGGAGAAAAAAATGAATTTAAGCCCCTGTGAAGGCTGTGATGAAAAGAACTACAGAGAATTATATGGCAGAAAATGTCAGTAGATGTAATCTTAGTTATTTATTTACATTAAAATGCAATAAAGTCACTTAATTAAGGTCCTCTATATGATCCTTCCTTATGATTAAAGAAAACACATTTGATGTCTTTTAGTTCATATATACTACTTCCTTGGGTAGCTTCTTTTCACAGTAAGATTTTGAACATTTAAAAATGAAACATTAAAACTGACATAAAAAAGAAATAATTAAATTATTCGTTATTACCACATTATGCTAAGAATGAATGGTAATTGGTTATATATTCTCGATGCTCTGATTATAATTGAGAAAACCATGCATAGGCCAAGAACTATGCTTGAGAATATTATTATAATAAATTTCTATTTCCAAAGTGTAATAAGAGAATATCTTAAAAGTTTCATATGGACAAAAAACTAAGAAACAAAATCAAATACCCAAAGTAGTCATTCTTCGGCGCTTAAATATTTAGTGCAATGGCTATTGTTTAAACTAGATATGTGTGTGTATTCATTTGATATATGTTTATAGACATATATGCATGTGGGTGTGTCTTTGTATATGTGTTTGGAGAGATATAGAGAGAGACTAACCATTTCAGAGAGGAAATTATCCTCCCATTTCATCTTTGTGGAACTTTCTCCGCACCCAAATTGCCTTCACTGCAACTGCCACTAGTAGGTTGTTGTAAGTATTCTCCACAAACTGAAACCACGCATACCTCCAAGACTTTTTGAAATGCAAAATGCCACAAATTGCCAAGAAGCCAACCAAGAAACCCGGTCCAATGGCAGTATAGAATGCCAGACGTTCCGACTCATCTTCTTCATCTTTACTCTCAGGAACATGTGGATCATGATGACCAATATCAGACGAAGTATCACCATGGCAACTCTTCAAGATTTGTGGTCCGCAAAGTTGATTGTTGCCCATATAGATGGATGATGGATCATCGAGTGTTTGGAGTTGATTTCCTGTTGGTATTCGCCCTGACAAGTTGTTGAACGACAAGTTTAAGTAGCTTAAAAAATTCAAAGCGGACAAGCTTGGAGGGATTGAACCAGAAAGTTTGTTTCTGGACAAATCAAGTGATTCCAAAGCTTTCATGTTTCCAATCTTCCTCGGGATCCTTCCATTTAGATGATTTTTGGATGCGTTGAAACTCAGCAATCCAGTAAGATCCATCACCTCTTCAGGAATCTCTCCGACTATCTGATTGTTTGAAATATCTATAGATGTGAGAAATTGGAGTGTTTTTGTGTATTCAAGTTGAATACCTTTAATGTAATTTAAAATGCTCTCGCTATAGGCTGGGCCAGCTGTCAACCCATAATTGTCAAACACTATTCCATTTTGATTCACAACCATGGCAGTAAAGTTGGCAAAGCAGCGATGGATCCTTCCCGTTATGTTGTTATGTGATAGGTCTAACACCTGAAGAGCTGAAAGGTGGCAAAGCCGTGGAGAAATATAACCATGGAACTTATTCAATTGAAGAATGAGAAATCGTAGATGAGACATTTCTCCAATCCATGGAGGGATAATATCTGTTAATTCATTATCACCTAGATCGAGAATGCGCAAATATTTCAAATTCTGCAAAGACGAAGGGATCTTCCCATGAAGCATGTTGTTGCGCAAGTGCAAAGAATTGAGCAGTGTTAAAGAACCCAAAGAACTTGGAATATCACCGTCTAGATTGTTATTTTTCAGATCAAGCACACGCAATTCTTGCAAGTTCCCAATGCACCAAGGGAGTGTTCCTGATAATCTATTTTTCGATAGATCAAGTATTAGCAGATTCCGCATCTCGCATATGTACTTTGGAATATCACCAGTCAAATTGTTATTTGAGAGTTTAAGATACACAAAGCTCTTATAAATATTATCATCAACGAGAGGAAAATCACCTGAAAGTAAGTTGTCTGAAAAATCTAATTCAGTGACATGTGAAAGAAATGGTGTTAAGGGGCCCTCAAACTTGTTGGAATTCAAAAATATCCGCGCAGCAGTAACGTTAGATTCTTGAAACTTGGGCAACTTTCCACAAATCTGGTTGTGAGATATATCTAAGAGGTTGATATGAGAATACAAATTCCCAAACCAGTCAGGGACGGTATCTGAGATGTTTGCATTGGAAATTACCAAGGTTTCAACATGTTTCTGTGTTTGAAGCCATGGAGGAAATTGGGGTCCCAATTTGCAGGAAGCCATATCAATAATTTGGAGTTGAAATGGAGGAACCCATTGGATGCTCACATTCACCACAATTAACAAGTTCGAAGACATGTTCAACCATTCTAACCTGGTGAGTTTGGCAAAATGAAGTTCAGATACCATACCTTCCAATGAATTGTTAGAGACATCTAACCGCTCTAGCCTTGAAAGTTGTCCAAGACTCGAAGGAATGCTCCCATTCAACTGATTACTATAAGCAAATAACCATCTTAATGATGACAGTCTTCCAATTGATGCTGGAATTGGACCACCAAATAAATTATGAGAGATATCTAACACCTCTAGCATCTTGAACTCTCCCAACTGATTTGGCAGGAAACCACTGAACTTATTTGACCCAAGCTTTAACTCCTTTAAACTTTTTTGGAGGCAAGTAGATGTATTTCCCAGGAAAAATGGAACCTCTCCGTTGAACTTGTTATGAGACAAATTGAAACTGCTCAAGCTGCAGAGATTCCTTATGGTGTTTGGTATTTCACCTTCTAACTCGTTGTCAGAAAGGTGAAGGACAGTAAGTTGTGTAAGATTGCCTATCTCACTTGGGACTGAACCTTCAAAACTATTCCCAGAGAGATCAAGGACAGTAAGTTGTGTAAGATTGCTTATCTCACTTGGGACTGAACCTTCAAAACTATTCTGAGAGAGATCAAGGACAGTAAGTTGTGTAAGATTGCCTATCTCACTTGGGAGTGAACCTTCAAAAGCATTCCAAAAGAGATCAAGAAAAGTGAGAGAAGTCAAGTTCCAAAGGCAAGGAAGAATCGGACCATGGTACCATACCAAACGGAGTCCCAAATGAACAAGGCTGCTCATTTTACACAACCAACTAGGCATTGGGGAAAATGATCCATCAAAGCCACTAAGATCAAGAAAACTGAGAGATGACAGCCTTCTAAGAGTATCTGGAATTGGACCTTGTAAATTGTTGAAGCCAAGATTGAGATGTTGCAAGTTGGAGAGGTTTCCAAATTGAGGGGAAATTTGCCCCTCAAAATACGAAAGGGAGAGGTCAAGATATCTGAGGTTCTTAAGGGAACCTAGGAATTCTGGAATTTGGCTTCCTGAAAAATCATTATTGCTCATATCGATGTAATGCAAATGCCTCAGATTGAGAATAGAAGGACTTATCTCACCTCGCAATCTGGCTCTACCATAATTTCTAGAATGGTACGGAATTGGATTGTGTAGATCAAGGTTGACGACTCTGCGTGTCCTCTTGCTGCAACCCACTCCTGTCCACGTACAGCAGTATTCTCCAACCCATGAGGACAGACGATTTGAATGATCAATGAGAGATTCCCTGAACATGAGAAGAGCTTTCAGCTCACCCTCTGTGCAGCTTACATTTGATTGATGATCTCTATTGATTTGCAACCCAACACCAACTCCTAATTCCATGAAAACAAGAACAAATGGTAATAATATCACAACACCACTTCTACCCATAGCTTCTTGCAAGCAAATTAGGCTAGTAGAAATGTAGAAGTCTAGTAGAAATGTAGAAAGGTAAGAGTGCAGTTTCACACAATTAATGATTTAGTACTCTAATAAAGATGTACAACAATCTATTGACTTAAAAGTGCATTGAGAACGTGAATCTTGATGCAGCCGTGGTTCACACCAATTTTTCTTTGTTAGTTTTTTCATCTGTCAGTTCTTCCTCTCACTGTACGTGACACGACATTGGCTTGTAAAGTCTGAGTCAAGTCATGAATGGTCGTTTTGTGTTAGTGGGGGTTTGCAACTATGGAATAAAATCATCTCTTGTGAAACATTAACGACGTACCTTACAAAAATGTTGTGATGATTAGCTCCAGAATTATTTTCTATACTAGTAATTTTTAGAGTATATTTGTATTTAAGTGCCTACTTTATCTGCTAAGTGCTTTTATTGTTTCTAAATGCTCGTTGATCATGTTGAGATTCAAATGTGAAATATACGTATATACGTTAGACTGGAATTGGATATACTATGGTGTAGGATTATTAAACCATGGTTGTTTTATTTTTATTTTTACTTTTTACTTTTTCAGTAAGGATTGAAGCATGGTTGTTGAAAGTTAAAAGGTTTGAAATTGATGACAGGGGAGGGGTTCTGGTTTTGCAATTATTTCATACTACTTGCCAAGAAATCACTGAATTTCATATAGCTTCTCAAATTTATACCATGAAAGCCTACATGCCTTTAGTATTCTCTGCAGTTATAAACAAAGGAGTTTCATATTATCGCCTACTTCAACTGTGGGGCCGTAGGTGCAGCCCAGGACACCAATTTCTTCTCAACTTCCAAATATATATATATATATATATATATATATATATATATATTTGGGTAAATTCTTCTGAACTTGTTGGAGAATAAATCTGCCAGAATTTTCATTTAAAAAGATGGATAGTACACACGTTTGCTTCTTATGTTTGCCACAAATTTCTTCTAAAATGAAGGAAAGCACAAGCGTTTGGTGACACAAATTTGCCTAATCTTTTCATGTCCTGGGATTGATCTTCTGAGGATAGTTCAAGTCCCCTCAGAGTGAATCTGGCAACCAAACACCAAGGAATCAAATAAGTTTGGATTTGATTGCTTAGCCTATCCAACAACATGACCCAATCTTTGGTTGTTTCACTCAAAACCATATTGAACTAATTCATGTTGATCCCTCTCTATACTTTTTTGTGTGTATTTTCTACCTTACTCTTAATATAACATTAACAACCCATTAACATTTCCAGGAACTATTTATCTGAAGCTCTTTCAATTGAAGAAGAAAATTTCCAACAGCAGCAAATTAAATAAGAATTCATCTCGTCAGATCGACAAACTTAACCGACAGCATTTGCCCTTTAGTTTAGTCATTACTAAGGAGAGCAATCAAACCCTTGATTCACTCTTCATTTTTTTATGTTATGTAGAAACTTCAGAGTAAAGATAGAATCTCTAGACCGGCCATATGAACTCTCTTAGGAAGAATTTGTGTTGTCTGATTGAAAAAGTGCAGTAAAAAATATTGTTTTGATAACAGAAAATCAAAGTACTGAGATTTAGTAATAGTAATTTTTCAAAAAGTTAATACCAAGAAATTGATCATTATTGGTCTACCTCATGAACTTCATTTTTTTTTATGTTATGTAGAAACTTCAGAGTAAAGATAGAATCTCTAGACCGGCCATATGAACTCTCTTAGGAAGAATTTGTGTTGTCTGATTGAAAAAGTGCAGTAAAAAATATTGTTTTGATAACAGAAAATCAAAGTACTGAGATTTAGTAATAGTAATTTTTCAAAAAGTTAATACCAAGAAATTGATCATTATTGGTCTACCTCATGAACTTCATTTCTCAGCAATTTGATAGAGGAATCTTTGAGATTTATTATTAAATCTCTCTTTCTGTGTGTGGGTGGGTACCAAATACACATGAAAAGCATTATTCTGTTCACTTTACTTTTTTTTTGGTCAAATTTCATTTTGAAGAAATTCCTGGCCCATTGCTTTTTTCTTTTGCAAATTATTTTCCTGTGATTATTACTTTAGATGAAGTAACATAGAAAATGTTGGAGTCCAATTTCATACCAGTTGGCTTTTGTAATTTTAGATGACAGTTATTAGTTTCAAGTGGTTGAACGGTATATATGCCTTTTTAATGTTTCAAATAATCAGTTGTGAAAGGCAATTTCAAGAACAAGCATGTAGAATGGTGAATTTATAGAGGAATTTTACATGAATCATGGCACTTCAATTCTCAGTAGTTTGCCAGAGGAATTCCTGGAGATTTCTTAACTCTTGCTTTGCGTGTGCGCGTGTGAAAAGCATTGTTTGTTCTTTTGAGTCAATGATTAACAAATTCTATGCAGACACTTCATTTTTTTTTAGTCAAATTTCATTTTACGAATTCACATGCACTTTTTGCTTTCTTCTATTGCAGATCATTTTCCATGATGTGATTATAACTTTAGATGAAGAAGTAACATAGAAAGTGTTCCAAGTGTTCCAGCCCATTTTCATACCAGTCGGCTTTTGTAATTATAGATCTAGTATTAATTTTAAGTGGATTTCATAATTTATTTTCCTTTTTAGCTTTGTTTGTTTGGACGTAAAATATTTTTCAGAAAATATTTTTTTATATTTTATGATGTTTGATTGTTGTAAAATATTTACGAAGAAAAAAAATATTAAAATTTAACAAAAATAACTTGTTCATTAATTTTCGACAAGATATTTTACATGCGCTTCCCGATGGACTCGATCTCAACCTCGACGTAGACCTTTGTCAAATATCGACAAAGTAAAAATAAAAGAATATTTTATCTGAAAATGACAAATATTTTTCAAAAAGAATATTTTAAATAATCAATATATATATATATATATATATATATATACACACACACACACATATATATATAAAGCAATTTTACATGCTATCATCTTTCCCTCCAGCCTCTTTTCTGATCGGCCATGCTTACTGTTTTGGTAGCGACGAGTATAAGTAATATAAATAATAGGGGCAATCTTATAATTTTAATAAAATTTAGGTCCTTTCCTGTTCGCAGGCCCTTGTAATGGTATGCTTACTAGAAGTTCTCCTCACATAACAAGTGTGAGAAATACTAAATTACCCTGCAAAAATTCTATTGAGGTGTGTATTAATTATTGATCTGACTTTACACATTCTATCGTATTTTCTTATAAATGCTAAAATACCCTCCAAAAAATACTAAATTCAAAATTGGACTAATGTGTATAATATTATCGATTAGACTTCACACTTCCCATCATCTCTTCTCATAATTCCATCTGTCTTTAGTTTTGATCTTCTCCTTTATTGCATTATTTTTCAATATAGATGTTATGGTACCTATACCAACATAGTTACTTGTTTTGGCCACACAAGGACTTGTTTAGTTTTTTCATTTTAAATAATTATAAAAGAGAGTTTTCTGAAAATGGATTTTTTATAATTGAATTGTCATAAAATAATTTTAAAAAAACTGAAATAAGTAGTCTTTGTATAATTTTTCGATCTTCAATTCTGAAAACAAAAACATGTCCTAAAAAAATTCAACCAAAGATGTTACAAAAGTAAATGTAGTGTTGGTGTCACCAATACAAAAGTAAATGTAAACTTTCCACAATATTTCTTCTAAAATTGTTGGTAGTTTGTTGTTAAATGGTCCATTTCAATAGGCATACAAATTTTTTCAGTGAATGTCCAAAATTACTACATGAAAATCAGAAAAATGTTGTATGAAATAGAGCATCTTGCATTTTATTCTTTTTGCAACTCTCAAGTAATAAAGCTGTAGTAATAGATTTTTAAGGTGATCTATAAACAGCCAAGAGTAACCTACTATTGCCTCTTTTTTTTTTTCTTTTTCTTGGGGGGTCTAAATAAGTGAGATACTGTATAAATAGATATGGTAAGAATATAGTATGAAGGACCAAAAAAAAAAAAAATGGACTTGGGTAAAGCCCAAACCCACAAAAAAGGCTCAAATGGACTTGCATAGAGTAATCAAGTTCCCTCAAGGCCCATGCCACGATCACCAACTACCAGGAACCTAGAGATAACTACCTTCGAGCAGAGGTGGAGAGCATCAACAAACCATGAACCAGGCATCTGATAGAGCAATTTTTTTATTTTTATTTTTATTTAGCATATATGATAGAGCAATTCAAAAGGAGAAGAACATGTTCCTTTCAGAGGCATCAAAAAAATGACCTAGTTAGGTTCCAATCATCAGCATTGTCGAATGGAGAAGGGGGGCGCATTCGAACAGAATCAACAATGCTGGAAAAGGTTTGCAATGGGGATTTCGAGTTGTTTTGGAAGATTCGGTTGTTTCGTTCTTTCCAGACATGGTCGATGAAGCTTGCAAAGGTGAGTTTCCATGATGAAATTCTATTAGCCTTCAATTTATGTTTCCAATTGGATGATGCCCAAAATGAAAAATCATTCGGACAATTAATGTTTGTATAGAAGTCACATTTGGCTTGCAATTTTGGCTGAAGCCACAAAATTGCAAGCCAAATGATTGTGATCCTCTGCAGCACTCAAGCAGAGGATACAAACATTTGGTTGCATTAGAATAATTATGGATGGTTTGTCTAGATTGATAGACTTTCACAAATGGCTAAAGTACGTTAGTGCCACCCAAGCCCAGCCCATAATTAACTTGTCCAGCTGAAGCCCGCTCATGAGCCCACACCTCTGGATTTAGAATGCAAAAAATAAGTAATCTTGTGCGGCTACAAGGACTCGAATAGTATTCTTCCAAAAATAATCTCAAACACTTTATATACACTTGTAGAATAATATAGTTTTAAAATTAATATACCCTTTCTGGGCTTGGGTTGGGTTTCGGGCTTTATATAATATAAACCCAAGCCCAGACCGAATTTAATTCGGACTCAGAATATTTAGCCCAAGCTCAACCTAGAACAAAAAAATACTGCCCAAGCCCTGAAAATTTCGGACTGGGCTCGGGTAAATTCGAGTTGGCCCGGTCCAAGTTGCAGCCCTACGTTAGTGTGATTATTGTTGTTCTCATAGTTAGATGTTAGAGATTTTTCTTATCTGATTTTTCTTACCTTAACACAGATAGGAAAAATCTTTAACATCTAACACTCAGGATATTCAATATTAGTTATTGACGGTAGATAATTGCTTAAATGGACAAATAAGTCATAATAAGTGGGAAGCATTTGTTAGCGATGGAAACTGGTTTTTTAGG